CGAGGATGTTCTCGCCCAGCGGGCTGCCGCGAAGTATGCCCTGATCCGTGCCGACACCGACACCAAGCTGCGTCGAGCCCTTCTGCGTCGCTATTCTGGCCACAACAAGACCCTGGAAGTCGGACAGAGCTGCTACTACTGGCGTGATGCTCGGGCCTCCGATCTTGTCAAGATCAGATGGCGCGGGCCTGCGGTTGTGGCTATGCGAGAAGACGATCAGCAAGGCAAACCTACCGTCTACTGGTTGGTTCATGGCACCAACTTGCTTCGTGCTGCCCCTCATCATGTCAAGCCCGTGCTTGGTGACCTGGATCAGCTCTCCGGCATGAACCATGCTCTTGATGCACTACGCAATCTCCGTGGCCGGGGAGTGACCCGATTCTGGGATTTGCAGCAACTCAACCAAGGACGTCGAATCGAAGAAGTCGGCTCCGACGAGGAGGCTATGGATGATCTCAATGACCAGTCTCTCGACATGTCTGGAGAGGAAGTGTCAGAGCCCCCTCAGCAACGCCGACGCCTTGTCGAACCTGGAGCTCCAGCACGTGAGTCTCCATTAGATGCGCCAGCGGCGTCACCAAGCCAAGAGTCTTCAGAACCTCAAGCACCACCACCACTTGAACCTCAAGCACCATCACCACCTGATCCCCAAGTCCTTCCACCAGTACCGGAGGAGCTCTTGGACGAAGACCTTAGGCGAATCCTGGAAGAGGATGTGTCTCGCACAACCTCTGTCACTGAGCCGGTCATCGAACCTGAACCTCAACTTCCCTCTGAGTATCGACCGGTGCAAGGTGAGACCTTTGAGCAGCAACGCCTCCGTGTAGATCGTCAAGAAGCTCCACTGTTTCAACAACCCTCATCGTCAAGTCGACAGAGATCGCGATCTCCACCACCACGACCTACAAAAGTCTCAGCACCTTCAACTGACGACCATGATTTGGCCGATGCTGTGTTCCCGGTTGATGAGTTTGACCTCAGTGCTCTACCACCTGGATGGACTCAAGACGGCGAAGGCTACCTGCAGTTCACCGGACACACAGACGACTACTGGTCGATGAAAGACGGTTGTGTGATTCGACATCATGTCCGTGGACGACTTCGCAAGTTCACTCCACACGACGCTACCGACTGCCCCTTCGACCCCAAGGACCTCCGTGGTCAGCGAATCACACTATGGCGTCTACCTGATGGTCGTCTCCGTCGTGAGACCGATGATTGGCGTGATGGTGGCAGTGACTTCTGGACCAACTCCCAGGTTCCCAAGAACTGGGACGGCTTCACCATTTTCACCTTTGACAAGGCCAAGGTCCGGGACATCAAGAAGAAGGTCGAACCACTTCGTGTACACCTTGCAACCGATGGTCGTCGAGTTGCCAAAGCCTATGTCGCTGCAGCTGATCGACAAGTCCGCCGGGGCGCCAAGGACAAGAACAACCTGTCGGAGCGCTACATGACCCTTGAGGATCGCATGCAGTTCCTGGAAGCCAAACGGAAGGAGCTTTCGTCCTTCTTCGAAAACAATGTGTGGCAGTTCGACAATGTGAAGTCGGCCGATCCTGCACGCACTCTTACCGCCCGGATCCTCCTCAAGTGGAGCAAGAATGCTGACGGCAGCAGACGAGCCAAGGCCCGCCTGATCGTTCGTGGCTATGCCGACCCCGATGCCCTGCAAGGCAAGGTCGAGTCCTCGAGCCCTACTACAAGTCGCCTCAGTCGCACCATTTTGTTGGCTCTTGCAGCCACGTATCGGTGGCCCCTGTGGACAGCTGATGTAGCAACTGCATTCTTGCAAGGTCTGCCACAGGACCGGAAACTCTGGCTGAAGCTGCCTGCCGACGCCCTGGCATTGCTGGGCGCTGATATGGACACCAGGATGCTCCTGATGAAGCCGTGCTATGGTCAGATTGATGCGCCGAGGAGATGGTTCCTGGAAGCCACCCGACGTCTCCGTCATGCAGGGTGGCGACAACATGTACTAGATCCTTGCCTCTTTATGCTCTACCCCAACCTGGCGGATCAGACCTACGACAAGGATACCGAGAACGGCAACGTCGAAAACAACACTGGCATCCTTGAGCCGTGTGGCATTGTCTGCCTTCATGTAGATGATCTACTTGGCTCCGGAGACCCACAATCGGAGACCTACCAGGCCGCCGAGGTCAAGCTCAAGGAGATCTTCAACTTCCGGGAGTTCAACAGTGACAAGTCCACACTCCAGTACTGTGGTGCTGAGCTCAAGCAGGTCAACGACGTCTGGCACCTCGGGCACCACGACTACCTCCATCGTATCAAGCCGATCACCCAGAACAAGGCCAGCAACTCCATTCAGAAGTTGGACCCGTCCGGAGTCTCTCAACTCCGTGGATTGGTTGGTGCGCTACAGTGGCCGGCTGTTCAGTCCAGCCCGCATATACAATGCTCGGCCTCGATTCTCTCCGGCGAGGTCGGAACTGGCACCAACATGACAATCAACGAGGCAAACCGCGCGTTGAAGTTTGCCAAGGACAACTCTGATGTCACGTTGCAGTACCGGCACATTGGCAATCTGGCAGACCTGCGCCTGGTCACTATGACAGACGCGGGATTCGCTTCCCGATCCGATGGTAGCTCCCAAGGTGGCTACATCACCCTGCTGGTCAACGCCGCCTGCTTTGACGGCAACGAGCTCCCCTACATGGTTTTGGACTGGCGCTCGTACAAGCTACCTCGTGTGTGTCGCAGCAGTCTGGCTGCGGAAGCTCAGGCGGCTGGTCAAGCCGTGGACAGCATGGAAATGGTTGTTCGCGCCTGGGAGCACATTTTCAACCCCAACGTGAAGCTCCGTGACCTCTTGGAAGTTCGCAGCATGCTCAAACCAACTCTGATCACCGACGCCAAGGCCCTATATGACAGCTACCAGCGCGAGCAGTTGGGCGGCAACACAGATCGCCGCACAGGTTTGGAGATCATGGTTATGAAGGAAAGGCTGCAATCGTTCGGCGGACACCTCAGGTGGATGAGCAGTGAGTTGCAGTATGCCGACGGCCAGACCAAACTGTCCACCCGGCAACTTCTTGCAGACCGTTTGAGATCACACCAGCTGAAGCTTTCGTGGGACCCCAGCTTCACCGCTGCCAAGCGCAAGAGCAAGGCCGAACGTCAACAAAACATGCAGGAGGGAGCTATTCCCAAACCACTCGCGCAGGGCGATGTTATGGTCTCTTTCTGCCAAGCCACCTACGTGGACAACCAGAAGAACACGCTTGTGGAACCCGAGGGCACGTTTGTCGAGCCCTACGCTGAGGTCATGGACTATGCCGTGATCACCCTCCTCCTGATGTTCGGATGGTGTGTGGTTCATGCACTGAGCTGTTCTTGCTCCGGCCGAAACCATACGGCCGTGACCGATGCGGTCGTGCAAACCGATTCCATGCCCATGGATCCCGTGATCACCACCCTGGAAATGAACTTGGAAGAAGCCAACAGCAGCAACGAGCACCTCATGGGTCAGAACTTTCGGATGCAGACGCTACTCCGTGAGCTACAACAACGCGAAGTGCAGCCCACAGGCCCCATTGTGCTCTCCCGCTACGGCAGTGTTTGGCATGTGAACCGTGAGTGCCGACACCTCCGTGGTGTGAATGTAGAGGTCCGCCGTGCGTGCAGGACCTGTGTGCCTCAGCCGACCGGCTGAGTGAAGGCTTTCTTCCCCGTGTGAGTTGCGTGCCACGCAACCGGCATTTCATGGCATGTGAAACCTGTACATCCATATCATGTGTGGCCGTGATGGCCCGAATCCCCTCTCATCCCACATAGGGTGGGTATCTGCCGTTTGACGGCACCGACCGATGGCTACGCTGAGCAGGAAAAGGGTCTACCTCCTGCACCTCTTCTTCGTTTTCTGGATTGGGGACTTCGTTAGCCCCTGCCAATCCATTGAGAGGACCCATTAGGCTTCCATTTGCTTAAGAATATGTTGTATTTTCCCCTCTTGGTTTTAAAAAGAATCCATCACTACTAGGAATATTTCTTTCAACTGTTTCCAGGCGATAGAGAAATCAAATGACCCCAGGTGGATGGGCGCATGAAAGAGATGGCCGACGCCAAGAACGACAAGGCAGAGGCGGAGTCCAGCCATGACTCCACGTTGCAGGAGCTGGATGAGCTGCTTGAGGCCAAGTTGGCCCTGAAAAAGGACTGCGGAAAATACGGGGGCTGAAACGGACTGGGTGAAACGGACTGGATGAAATCAACTGGGTGAAACGGACTGGGTGAAACGGACTGGGTGAAATCAACTGGGTGAAACGGACTGGGTGAGAAGGACTGGGTGAAAAGAAAAGGACTGGGTGTTTTTTCAAGCTGCTTGGGGGTTTCGTGCAAACTTAAAGTTGTTTTTTGACTTTTGGAGTTTAGACGGATCGAGGAACTAAGCTGCGGGAACCAAAAGGGGACGGGGGAATGTTCGATGTCCCGAGCTATTTCGCGCTCAGGAGTGTGACTTCTTTATGCTCAACTTCGATGTGCGCCAGAAAGCCCTCACCGACGAAATCGAGGCGTTGGGCCAGGCTGAAGCCATCCTCTCCGGGGCCAAGTGAATGAAGCGAAGGGCCGATCGCCTGAAACGCGGCTGCGAAGAAAAGGGCCTGCGCGGATTTTGGCAGCGCCCAACTGCACGTGGACCTGGGGGCCTGCGGGCACCTGGTTCTGCTTCCTTGATATGAGCAACTGATGGGAGGTTTCTGGGGTATGAGTTTTTGAGTGCCCTGTCGGGTTTTACAGATGGCCAAGTCATGGTCCAATCAAACAGTGTTTTTTTGTCGGGCATTCATGCGAGCAAGTGGCAATGGAATTGGTAGCCGACTGGGGAGGACGAGAAGGGCCGCGAACCCCCACCCCCTCCGCCCCCCCCCCGCCCCAAGGGGCAAAAACAAGCAGGGAATCGGACAACAGAATGCTACCCTGTCCTTTTTGAGGAAACATTCATAATTTGCCCGTTGCTCATGCCTTGGCTTTTGCAGGGCCAAGCTGATGGAGAGTTGCTTGGCTGCATATTTCTATCGTCGGCTTCTGGGTCCTCTATGGTTTCCATTTGGGGAAGCCACCGTTTCGCTCGGGTAGTTTTGGCGGGGAAAGCCAGCTCGTGCGAATTGGACCTCTTGGTATTCAACCATCCTAGCCCCATCCGGCTTTTCTCAAGATGGAAGAAACTCTGTGCCGGAGTTACAGGGATTCAGGCAGACCAGGGAAGCCGGCAGCCGCCCGTCACTTGTCGCTCCGGAAGCTCGTTCGAGCCCTTCACAGGCCCCAAGCGACAGCCATTTCCCAAGCCCAAGGGGCTCCACTTCTTTCGTCGTGAAGTTTGCAGATGGATGCGCTACTAAGATGAGGTTTTAACCCTTCCCCTTTAAAACCGCCAGAAAGGGCGACCCTCAGAAAAGACACCACCAGGTGGCTTGGTGCGAATGCTGCGCCTTCTTGCTAAGGAGCCATGCCATGCTGCTCTGCATCAGAGGCAGGGGGTTCGGCACCGAAACCAAACCTGCCGTTGGTGGTTTGGAGTGGTGGTTTAGGGGCTAGGGGCGGGCATTTTTGAAGATTGGGTGTTGCACTTGGGCAATCTGGCCGGAATCGCACTTCCCTTTTGTGCCTGTGGGAGACGGGGTGGAAAGCCTAGCTGCCTAGCTGCACCGCCAGAGGCCTGTAGGGGGTCTAGGCAGTGCGAAGGAGCAGAACCATGTCTGATCATAGGTCAATGCATTGAATTGCAAAGTCGAAAATCGATTATTCCTGTTCCATATGCGGCACGAGCCACGCACGAGTTGGCTCCGTCATTCCATCGCTGTTGGAATTCGAAGGCGAGCTCTGAAACTGGGGATGTCTTTTTTGAGGGTACCCTTTTGAAGGGAGTTTGGGAGGAAGGAACATCACCTTTTTGGGGGTCCCCTCAAAAAGTCGCACCTCACTCACCTCACTTGCCAGGTGGCAAACCATTGATGCGCCTCAGCAGCGATGGGCGCAGCCTTGATTTCCTTGCCGGCTGCGGTCCCCAGGACTGGGCTAAGCGGCGACGGGAGGTTGAGGAAGCTGCCAGCGAGTAAGTGGGAATGTGCTTTCAAGCTACTTAAAGCAACCAAAAAAAGGTCTCAACAAATACAAACCCAAGGGGTGCTTGCCTGCAGCCGCTTGCACGCCTTGCACAGGACTTGGCGCCCGCATCCGAGGCAGAAAAGGGGCGGGCAGTCCAAGGTTTCCGGCCAGCCGTGCTTCAGATCCAAGGGGGCCCAAAATGACCACGACGACTCCAGCCACGACAACCCTTTTGCCCAAAGTCACAGCATGGCACATGTGGATTTTCCTCATGCAGGCGCTGGCGGGTGCAAAGGAATCATTCATGATCGTGTCAGTGAACAGCATGCCAGAAGCTTAGCGCTCTCAGATGATCAGAGATTCAGAACGGTGAATGCTTTTCAGCCTGTCGAAAGCCCTGGGCAACACCAGGCACATTCCCTTGTCCCCAGCAAGTTTGTTTTTTTGTTTTTTGTTTTTGCGGTATGCACTGCCCTTGGTACATTACTTGGGTGGGGATCCAGACACTTACTCGTAAAAAAGAAAAATAAACAAACATGCCTTGGGTCTTTGCAAGTCCTTGCGCCAAGATCACGCTCTGCTGAGCAGATGGCACGTGAACTGTGCACCCCACCTGCGGCATCTCGGCACGCATTTGCCTTTCGGGCCAGGCATCCAAATCGGACGTCCGGATCCACTCGAAAATGGGACACCCTCCCGATCAAACCCAAGCCCGAGGTTTGTCAATCCCGGTTCTCAGCTAAAATGCGTGGTTTGAAAGGAAAACCACAAGGAGACCAGCCATTTTGGGGTTCCCAAGTTAGTCCCCCAAACAAGTTTGACACATGCCCAAATTGCGTAAGGTGGACTCAGACGGGCTCAGTGAGTCGGGTGGTCCATGCCAGGTGCTTTGGGTTGATCTCTGGAACAAGGACTACGAGAAGGGCATGAGCGTCCATCTGGAGGACATCTCAGCAGGACTGGGGCCAAAGACAGAGAAAAAAGTCAAAGGCACCAGTCCTGGAACAGAAAGTCAGAAACAACATAAGTGTGTTTTCTGTTCCACCGACCGGACTTCGGAATGACAGGATACGGCAACGCGAAGAGCGTGCTGCATGGGGTCAGCTTGGAGATTGCGCCTCGTGCCCTGGCTGGTTAGATTTAGATCTCGACGGATAGCGAAGACATTCGGAAGCAGACCTATGGGGCTTGTCATGTTGGGTACCCAAAAGCCCTTATACCCTTTTAAAAAACCCTTAGGCTGGCTTTAATTCCCCCCTGTATGCGTAGGGATCTGCCGGCTTTATAAGAATCGAGCTTAGGGGTTGAGCGAGGTCCCTTACTTGGCTTACTTGGGGGTCCCTGCATGGATTTCAGATGAAAATTGTCCCTGGTATATGGGACATCGTGAAAATCATCGGGGGATGTAAGTCCGCTGCAGGGTTAGGGTGTTTCCAATTTTGGCGCTTTGTGCGTGCTTGTTGGGTCAGCAGATAGACTTGCATGCTTGCCGACCATCCAATATCTTTTTGGTTACAAGACCTTGGCTTTTTGCGAGTATGACACATTCCGGGTCTCCTAAGACAGGGTCCCACAAGGGTTGTCTTCAGCATGGCTGTGGATCTTACGAACCTCGAAGCAACAGATGAGCCACAATAGACGGCCCCAGCCATAAACAGGTTTTGGGTAGACTCTGTTAGTAGGTTTTGAGTGTGACTCGGATGGTAGTGTTGCAATGGTTTGGGGTTTTGGGGTTATGTCCCTCTCCCCCGATTTGCTTTTGGTCCGGATGAACCAATCCGAAGTTACCTTTAAGCCGACCCCATTGTCCCCAATGCAATGGTTACGGTTGTGAGTTCTGTGGGGCCTTGAGTGTTACCTATCATACTTCTAACCGTGGTCACAACCCACTTACTAAGTCCGTTGGGCACACCCAGCTCTCACACCATCCAGGCACCAAGTGCGCCTTTGTGGGCAAGACCGGCTGCGGCAAGTCCACCACACTGCCTTTGGCCAAGAAAATTAGAAGGGGCTGGGCGGCTGGGCCGGACGGGTTTAGGAGGGCTTCACTAGCTCTACAGCCACCCCGCAAGCGGAACTAGAGGATATGCGCTATGTGTATATATATATATATGTGTGGGTGCACATATAAAGATAGATATATGACTATGTATGCAAATATGTAAACGTCTAAATAGATGAATAAATCGAGAATCAATTGCATAGATATAGAGTCGATAGTTATAGTGGTTGAAACCACCCGTCCCTTTTTTGTTGGGTGGCTGGAGGCGCGAAGTTGAAAACCGACGAAAGGTTCTCTAGGTGACCCGCACAAATGGATCGATCCGCCCTTGGAAGCTGGATCTTCACAACTCGATTGGCCATGGGCTTTTCCAAATCCAAATCGGTGAATTCGCCCCCAGTGAACCTCCGATTCAACCCAACCACTAGTGTAAAATGGGTGGTGCATTCACCCACCAAAATGGTACCATTGGTTTGGCCCGAAGCCAGAGCGACGGGATTTCGCGGCCAAACAGCCAGGTGCGGTGTCTCCAAACCTTCCATTCCCCTCTTGGGTTTAAAAGGGAAACGATCGCTACCGGAAATATGGCTTCCTTTTTTCCAGGGGTCGCATGTGCAAATGGAGGAAAGTTTTTGTCTTCTGAGTTGCCTTGTCAAACGCCATCCAGGCTGGTTCCTGCTTCCCCTTTGGAGCGGGCTTCGCTTTAAAACCAGCTGCAGACTTGAGCTGGCAGGTGCTTTCTTCATTGCGGGGAAACAGCGCCAGCCCAGGGGTCTCTTCAAGAGCTATGTCGGGTCAACCCCAAATCAGCAGTAAATAAGGCGTAACCCCCACAGGAGTCAATAAGTGATAAACTCCAACTAAGAAGTAAGACAAGGGCGAACGAGGGGGCTCATTATTTTGACTATTTCGAGGGTAATCAAATCATAGTCAGAAACTTGTAAAGGACCTCCCTTCAACCTTCCAGTCTCTGGGGGATATTTCCCCTTGGTACCTTCTAAGGAGCTACTTCAACCCCTTTTAACCCCCAAAAGCCATCCTTGGGTGCTTGGGTGCGTCTTTCTTTAGGGCACCCCAACCATTTGTTGGTTGTCCTTTTGGTCCCCTTTTTTCCCGCCGAAAACGGGTAACAACGGGAGTCACCACACCCACTGCCTGGGTTTCGCCCAAGGATTCGGCCCACAACAAAGGAAGGAAACCACAAAGGAAAGGGAGTCACCCCCCCCCCCGCCGGATGGTGCCCCCCCCCCTTCCCCCATCGGCCCCTAAAAAAAGGCGCCATGCCACGGCCAAAAGCGCAGGCTGTGCATCCTCCGGTTCTTAGAGCCCCGGTGTGGCCGCATCCGCCTGGGAGGCGGGCGGCTGCTCCGAGGGGGGAAAGGCCAAACACCTGGGAACGGAACCTCCCGGGGAATGGAGCCCCGTTTTTTTTTTCAGGGTTCCACGTTAAATTTTGCAGGGGAGTAATGATTAGAGGAGTTCCCTCCAAACAAGCCGTTTCAAACTTGAGAAGGCTTATGCGGATGGTACAACGCCAGTGGGCAAAGGGAGCCAACAGAAAAACAAGGGGTTGGAGTTGTGCCGGACAAGTTTGGCCCGCCCTCCAAAGAAAGTGGACTGATTAGGCGGGCCTTTGAGGGAAAGATTGTGTGGAAAATGTGCGCTTGACAACCGTAGAAGAAATGGCAGTTGTTGGGGGTTCGCATCAAAGGAGGCCGATGGTCGGGAGAGTTTGCTGAGCTCAATCACCTCCTTCAGACGATGCCAAGTCTGCCCTGTCAAATGGGTGGTCTCACCATGTCTCACCTCCTTTTGGATCCTTGGATCCATGTTCTTGCGCCAACCTTTTGTAAAGCCCATTGAAAGCGAGTTTGCTTTTGGTGGGGTGTAAAAGTACGTCTAAGATGATCTTTAGGCTGGACATGTGCCCCCGTCGAACCCACAGATGGGCCGGTTTAGGGAAGAGTGTCTTCCACCTTAATTCATTTTTGGGATGTAGTGAAGGCCCTCTTGGAATTTCATGGTGCTTCCACACCCCGCATTTTCTTTGTGACAGTTTTGGGACTGGGCGCCAAGTTAGTGGCCTTGCCAGGCAACGACACGTCCAAGCTGGGTCTGAGGGCCCTGCGAAGCATAGTGGGCCTAGTGCCGCAGGAGGGAAAGTTGGGTGCGATCAGTAGCCCATATTAGTTTGATTATCGTCCCAAACGGCAGCCAGAAGGGATAGGTTGTGAGATTGTTCCAGGCTCCCCATCTAACACCCAGGTTGGGGGCTTCCATTTTGGCTCAGAAGGGATACCTCCCAAAAAGCGACCCACGCCCCCAGAAAGCAAGACAGGGCTGTCTCAAGATCCTTGATCCCACCGAGATTTGTGCGCCGCCACTGTTCTCACGAATCTGTGCCCAGAAGTGGTGTTGTGGCGATTGGGGGCTAATTTCGTCTCATTTCTTTCGGAGTGGTGCCCTTTTGCCGTTTAGTGGAAGCCAAAGGGAAACGGACACCGCACGTTGTTGATCGTTGTTGTTTCCTCGTAAGGTGGGGTGGTTTTCCATTTACCCTCCACGAACGCCAGGGGTTCAATCCTCAAACCAACTAAGCGTTACCTGAGTGCCTGTGGATCCCAGGTCGGACGCAAACAACGGGCCGAGAGTATGGGTCTCAAATACATGCGGTCCCGAATCCCTGATCTGTTGCACACGCAAAAAAAGGGGATGGTTCGAAGTGGCAGTTTTTGTGTTTTTTGTTTGGGAGTTTTGAGACAACCGTATACCACAAATGTGACTTGAAAGTTTGGGACGACGGAATGGACCTCTGGAGCAAGGTGGACCATTAGGTAGGAATTCAGTGCCTGCTATCTGTTTTTAGTGGTTTTGGTGGTTGGTGTCAAAAGGAAACCAAAAGGACAACTAAAGCCATTTTGGCGGGCATTTCAAGACACACCAATTGGGTTTTGGGCCTAACATCGATTTTCTCCGTGGACCCCTGGCCCGTGAGACACTGGCCGTGGCAGTGTCAGGACCCCACGGTGTTCGAGGGGACCATCCGCTTCAACATTGACCCCTTCGGTGAAATCCCAGATGCGCGGATCTGGGAAGCAGTGCAAAGCGTGCAACTGATGCCATACATCCGGACCCTTCCGGAGCCTTGGCAAGAAAGTCAAAACTGTGCAACCAGGGCCCGTGATGCTGTACTGAGCGAAAGGCCCGGAATTTGACATTGTCGTAGCATAGTGTGGATGGGCGAAGTTCTGCACCACTTTCAAGCCATGGTTGAAACCATTGCTTGTTGACATTCACATGGCAATCATCATTCCAGGCCCGGCTGTGGTCCGCAGCATGGTTGTGGCGTCTTATGCGTTTCGTATTGGGAGTGATTGATCGATTGATCCGCCACCCACGGCTTGAGCGACCCGAGGATGGCATTGATAGCGCGATCGACCGTGATGGCTCCAACATCAGCTTTGGCCAGAAGCAGCTTCTGAGCTTGGCGCGTGCGCTGGCGGCAGATGATCTGGGCGCAGAAGCAGAAGCACCGAACAGCCCATACTTGCCTGGAGTCTTCTTTTGACCCGCATAAAAATGGTTGGTCATGACCCGAAATAATGGTTGAGAATTGACCCGTTTTTATCATGGAGACTCCAGGTATTTAGTTTTCTCAAGACGAAGCCAAAAGGGGAGGTATTGTGTTTGTTTCTGACTTTCAGTTGGCACCCTTCAAAAGCAACCGCCTTCGAGAATGATAGCATGAAAAGTGCTGCTTGCAATGCGATTGGAGATTGCGGAGTTGAACTTGCAATGCTCATGTCAGATTCTTTGGGGTGGTAATCTACAATCCGGTGCTTCTTGGGTTGGGAACAATGCGTCGCAGAAGGGGCCGTGATGCCAAGGCATGGTCGTTCGCCAGCCTCCCATTCTGCTGCTGGATGAGTGCACGTCTGCACTAGACCCCGTCACACAAGAAGCCGCGCAGAAGACTATCCTCAAAGATTTTCCCAGGACCTGTCAGAACTGGATGGTCTCAAAGTAGAAACCAGTCCCCTAAATTTGTTGGTTCTTGTTGCTTTCCCTTTGACTACCCTACGCAGGACCACCATTTTGAGAAACTCCGAAATGAAAAAGAACAAGATGAAGAGAGCCTTGGCAGGACCACCACTATTGCTGTGGCTCACCGATTGGCCGCTTGTTCGCAAGCAAATTGGCAAGGCAATGCAGCATGCATCCATTTGCAGTCAGAGACAGGTCCGGTTGTTCCATATGTATCTGCTTCAAGCCTGCTGTTCATGGGAAGTGGCATACGCGTGGCGATGCTTGCAAGGAGACCATTTTGGACTTTGATCAGATCGTTGTCTTTGAACAAGGCCTCGTTGCTGCGCTGGCGCTGCTGTGAGGTCTTTGAAATACCGCCACCAACCAACCAACCAACCAGCCAGCCAACCAACCAACCAACCAACCAACCACATCCAACCAACACCAACCAACTACACCACCCAACCAATATCTCAACATGTGCCTGCATGTTTCAACGTTACCTTTTGCGCATGAAGTAAGTTGGTTTCAGGTGTGATAAGCCAAGTTCAGGAGAAGATGTTCATTTAGAACGGGCTACGCCGTGCGTAGGCAAAAAGATCGAAGAGGGCACAGTGGCTGAGCTACGGAAACTCGACGGGCACTTCGCGCACATGCTGAAAGCTCCCCGGCCTGGAGGATTGAAGTCAGACTGCTGAAAACGCCGAGACGTGTCGGTTTTTGGTTTTTGCAACCTGGTTTTTGGTTTTTGGTTTTTTGGTTTTTGGTTTTTGGTTTTTTGGTTTTTGGTTTTTGGTTTTTGGTTTTTTGGTTTTTTCGGTTTTTTGTTTTTGGTTTTTGGTTTTTGGTTTTTGGTTTTTGGTTTTTGGTTTTTGGTTTTGGTTTTTGGTTTTTGGTTTTTGGTTTTTGGTTTTTTGGTTTTTGGTTTTTGGTTTTTTGGTTTTTGGTTTTTTGGTTTTTTCGGTTTTTTCGGTTTTTTGTTTTTGGTTTTTGGTTTTTGGTTTTTGGTTTTTGGTTTTGGTTTTTGGTTTTTGGTTTTTGGTTTTTTGGTTTTTGGTTTTTGGTTTTTGGTTTTTGGTTTTTTGGTTTTTTGGTTTTTGGTTTTTTCGGTTTTTTGTTTTTGGTTTTTGGTTTTTGGTTTTTGGTTTTTGGTTTTTGGTTTTGGTTTTTGGTTTTTGGTTTTTGGTTTTGGTTTTTGGTTTTTGGTTTTTGGTTTTTGGTTTTTGGTTTTTGGTTTTTGGTTTTTGGTTTTTGGTTTTGTGGTTTTTTGGTTTTTGGTTTTTGGTTTTTGGTTTTTGGTTTTTGGTTTTTGGTTTTTGGTTTTTGGTTTTTGGTTTTGGTTTTTTGGTTTTTGTTTTTTGGTTTTGGTTTTTGGTTTTTGGTTTTTGGTTTTTGGTTTTTGGTTTTTGGTTTTTGGTTTTTTGGTTTTTTGGTTTTTTCGGTTTTTTGTTTTTGGTTTTTGGTTTTTGGTTTTTGGTTTTTGGTTTTTGGTTTTGGTTTTTGGTTTTTGGTTTTTGGTTTTTGGTTTTTGGTTTTTGGTTTTTGGTTTTTGGTTTTTGGTTTTTGGTTTTTGGTTTTTGGTTTTTGGTTTTTGGTTTTTGGTTTTGGTTTTTGGTTTTTGGTTTTTTTTTGGTTTTTTTGGTTTTTGGTTTTTTCGGTTTTTTGTTTTTGGTTTTTGGTTTTTGGTTTTTGGTTTTGGTTTTTGGTTTTTGGTTTTTGGTTTTGGTTTTTGGTTTTTGGTTTTTGGTTTTTGGTTTTTGGTTTTTGGTTTTTGGTTTTTGGTTTTTGGTTTTTGGTTTTTGGTTTTTGGTTTTGGTTTTTGGTTTTTGGTTTTTTTTGGTTTTTGGTTTTTGGTTTTGGTTTTTGGTTTTTGGTTTTTGGTTTTTGGTTTTGGTTTTTGGTTTTTGGTTTTTGGTTTTGGTTTTTGGTTTTTGGTTTTGGTTTTTGGTTTTGGTTTTTGGGTTTTTGGTTTTTGGTTTTGGTTTTTGGTTTTTTTTGGTTTTGGTTTTGGTGGTTTTTGGTTTTTGGTTTTTGTTTTTGGTTTTTGGTTTTGGTTTTGGTTTTTGGTTTTTGGTTTTTGGTTTTTGGTTTTTGGTTTTGGTTTTTGGTTTTGGTTTTTTTTGGTTTTGGTTTTTGGTTTTTGGTTTTGGTGGTTTTTGGTTTTTGGTTTTTGGTTTTTGGTTTTTGGTTTTTGGTTTTTGTTTTTTGGTTTTTGGTTTTGGTTTTTGGTTTTTGGTTTTGGTTTTTTGGTTTTTGGTTTTTGTTTTTGGTTTTTGGTTTTTGGTTTTTGGTTTTTGGTTTTTGGTTTTGGTTTTTGGTTTTGGGTTTTGGGTTTTGGTTTTTGGTTTTTGTTTTTGGTTTTTGGTGTTTGGTGTTTGGTGTTTGGTTTTTGGTTTTGGTTTTTGGTTTTTGGTTTTTGGTTTTTGGTTTTTGGTTTTTGGTTTTTGGTTTTGGTTTTTGGTTTTTGGTTTTTTGGTTTTTTGGGTTTTTTTTTTGGGGGGGGGGGGGTAATGTAAGGGGGGAATGACAGTAGCAATCCTTGCTTCACTATGGTTGTCTTCCACAGTTTTCTCAGCTTCCACAAATTCGACCGTGCAACGCCCCGCAGACCCTGCAACAGGAAATGCCTTTGGGGCGCGCCTTTGGGGCGCCTCACAAGTTGGTGGACTATTTGTTCTTATTTGTCGCAGGGGTGGATCAGCATGAGCTACAAGGCATATAGAAGCTGTGAATGTGTGCTTCCAGTTGTGGTCCAGGTTCGGGCGTATAGGTCGGACCCCTCTCTGTAAGACCTCTCAGCGTTCAGACCAACTCATCTTCGGAGCGGGCGCGACCTGCAACTCAAAAGTCCACGGCGCGAGGTGAAGCAGGGCACCATTCGCTCTTGAGCCATGGGAATTCGATCGCGGCTTTGCGGATGCCGAAGTCTTAACTCGCCAAGCGAGCGCCATGCCGGGAAACGGCACAGGATATTAGGATTTCCCAATGCCGGCAGAAGCTTGGGAATCGACCAAAGACAATCCGACACAAGCTTGAGAAAAGAAGCGCATGGGCATCGATTTCGGCGGTGTTCCCATGCACCATGTGCAAGCGTACAACTGGCCAAAACCTGGGTAAGATTCCCGTCCACTAACAGAGTGTCCCTGTACGAGAATTCTTTGCAGAACCCCGCGGGCTTGAATGGCGGTTGCCTTTCGTGACGTAATTGTGCCGGGTTTCTTGGAGCAGAGTTGGAGTTATCATGCAGCTGCTTTTGCCAACGTTCGCATGATGGCAAGCTTATTTGTGAAACCAGCATGGCACAATCGCATTGCTCTATGCCAGTGAACCTGAGCATAGGTTTGAACATTATTTTATTTGTTCACTGTTGGCTGGAGCATGTTACAACTTGGCTCGTGTCCTTCTTGCTGTATTCAGGCATCAGGTGGCAGCATTTGCTCAAACCTAGCACTTGGCCCATCGTGTGCGGGCCAGCATGCCAGTGCCCATTGTTTTGAGATGTTTTGAGTGTCTCTAGCGGTAAAAGTCTGAAACTGCCTTTATAGTCTCACTGCCAAGCCTCTTCCTGATTCCTTCCGGAGCCAGATGCTGGGTTGAAAGCCTTGGCTTGCCTGTTTTTCAATCCAGTTCGGGGGTATGTCCCCCTGTTGGAGGAGGGGTCACTTGTCCAAGGGGTGTGTAAAAGGGGTACAAACACCCCTGGACAGAATATTCTCGCTTGTCAGCCTTCGTGATCTCCCTTGTTTCCCTTTATGCTACTCGCTTTCTAGATCGGAGCTTGACCCGTTTTTTTCATGGCCTCCCATTGTCTCCATAATCTTAGCAGCTTTAGTCTCAATTTGCTCAAAGTTATGCTGTTGCGCTGTTTTCCAATTTGATCGGAGGTCTTTGTCTTGTCTACCTTCAGAATCGCCTGTGTCCTTTCATCTTGCCTCACGGCCTCTCTTCCTGGGCCGGAGCCAGATTCGATGCCGCCAGCTGATCCTGTGATGCCAAACGTTCTTGTTTACATCCCTTCCGTTCTCCTTTTAACTAGTCTTCCTTCATAGTCCTCTCTTGTTTGTGGATCGTTTCATGCAATGCATCCACAGGATCTCCACAGAACTTGGCTGAATTTTGGGGGACTCGGCCCGGGCCTCCGGAGCTGGGATGGACTCCTTGGCCTAAGCTGAAGCCGCGGACTCGCCTCGCGGCAAACCCCCGGCCCAGAGTCAGGTTCCGAGGCGGCGAACCTCGGCCTGAGATCTTGGCGCCGGGGCCTAGTGACGCAAAGCCAGGGCTTCGGACAGCCTGTGAGCTTGTTGGCCTTTTTGCTGAGAGCTCGGAATCATCGCGGGTTGAACAACCTTTTGGCTTCCACTTTAAGGTGTAGGGAATGTCTTCATAGCTGCGACCAAGTTTTGCTGCCGGCCCTACTTTCCCTGGCTGAGTGATAGAAGCAGCCTTGAGCCCTGCGAGGGAGAGAGAGAGAGAGGGAGAGGGACACTAAGGTTAACCCATCAACAACCCAACCCGTCAACAACCCTTAGTTGTCAGGTTTTTTTTGTTGGGGGAGGGGGGGCTCAGTGGGGGGGCGGGGGGGTGGTTGGGAAGATTGCGCCAAATGTGGCGCGCGCGTGCGTGGCGTGTAAGAAACGAGATCTCTTTAAATGAAGGAGATCAATTTAGTGAATGAAGCACAAACGCATCCTCTGTTTTGTTTCGATGCAAGGAGTGTACATCTCCATGTTTTCTTTTTTCCGTTGCTTATGATAGTTGACGTTTCCTAATTTACGAGATACATCAGTGGCGTAGCATCACGCTTTGTAACAAAATCAATCTAGTAGAAAAGAATCACCGACATTCATCATGAAATGGAGCGAAATGAACAGGAAACAGTCACGAAATAGAAACGTCATGGAACAAACAATATTTGGAACACATGAAAGCTAATGGAAGCACAATTGCAAATGTAATAACCAGAAATAGCAATGGAAACAAGGCATGACAAGCAATTGGAAAGAAATGGAAAGGACGTGAAAAAGAAAGTGGAAATTGCGAAACGAGCACTTTCTCGGCCCGGCCTGGCCTTGGGCACTTCTAGCTAGGAATGGAAAGCAATGGAAAGCGATGGAAAGGAAGGGATGGACAGGAATGGACAGGAATGGACAAGACAGGGAGAGAAAGTCACAGAAATGGACAGGAGAGGAAATGGGAAGGAAATATAAGCAAAGGAATAGAATATACATTTAATCAAAATAAATATGGAAAGGAATGAAACAAATATGGAACAGAAAGGACATGAAACTGAATCTTAAAGAAATGGAAAGGAACCACGCCGCTTCAAAATTATTGACATGGACAATTGCGAAACGAGCACTTTTTCGGCCCTGGCTGGTCTTGGGCACTTCTAGCTAGGAATGGAAAGGAATGAAAATGAGTGGAAAGAAAGGGAAACCAAAATGGAAAGAAATGGAAGTCGAAAGGAAATTAAAGGCAATGGACATGACATGGAAATGACAAGGAATGGACAGGACATACAAACAAAAGAATAGAATAGGAATTGAATTGAAATGAACATGGAAAGGATTGAGCCGGATATGGAAGGAACGCAAAGGACATGAAAAGGAATTTCAAAGAAATGAAATTGACACCTGCTGCTTCACCATTGTTGACATTGACAATTGCGAAACGGGCACTTGTTCGGCCCGGGCTGGCCCTGGGCACTTCTTCTAGCTAAGAATGAAGGGGAATGGAAAGGAGTGCAAAGGAGTGGAAAGGAATAGAAATAAAGGGAAAGAGAAGCAAATAAATGGACAGAAATAGCAAGAAAGTGCAAAGAACATGGAAACACAAAGGAATGGAACCGATCATTTTTTCGATGGAAAGAAAAGAGAAGGGAGGAAAGTCGTTGAAAAGGAAATGGAAACAAATAGAGAAATGGAATAGACAAGAAACGCAGATGGAAAAGTGCCGAAGGCCAGCCCGGGCCAAATGGCATGAAAGGTAAGGTCTAGCCCATGTCCCAATATTATCCTATCCTAACTCATTCCTATCTCACCGCCGTGATTACTAAGGGAAAGAGGGGTTGCAAGGTAAGGAGATGTCCCTTCGTTCATATGATTAATGTTATCTTGCTTTTGTTTAGCTGCAACAGTTATGACTCTGGAATTTCCAAGAAGCATACCAGTAAAAGGACAGGAAAGAGACAGACAATGAACGCTTTTGGATGCATCTCCCATCTTTGAAGCGCTTGCAGTCCTAGCACTAAGATCTTAAGGAATAGAGTTCCTATAAACAAGACACAGAGATGAAACAAGCAAATAATAAATAGGTGATATTCATGGCGAGACAAAATACAGCTAGTAAATCAAATAGATAGTACTTATAAATGTAAACCAATGTGTGTGATATTCTGGAAGATGCCCCCCCCCCCACACAGCGGCTTAAGACCGGGATCTACAACATATTAAATCTACTTTTGGATATCTTCGTTCGCATTTATAAGGCTTGTATAGAGGATCTCCTAGTCACCTATCTGTCCTTCTTGGCATGAGAAGGATTATGAGAAGGACAGATATAGAGACATAATATTTATACATTAGGATTTACTTCTTCCTCAGTCGTAAGGTTGTGGCAGCTAGCGAAGCGATGGATAGCTTGTTTTAATATCAGCTCTTGGGATCTCTTACCTATATCCTGGGTAAAAGCGGAGGAAGAAAGGAACTGCTCATTTTGCATTTTTTCAAAAGAGTTCTGAAGAGGCGAGTTTCCTTTCCCTCCCTGTCATTCCTTTCCATTTCCATTGCATGTCAATTCCATTTTAACTTCATTTCTTTCCTTTCTATTCCTAGCTAGAAGTGCCGAAGGCCAGCCCGGGCCAAACACGCGGTCGTTTAATTCCATTTCCTTCCTTTCCATTCCTAGCTAGAAGTGCCGAAGGCCAGCCCGGGCCAAACACGTGCTCGTTTCGCAATTTCCCGTGCCAAGAATTTGGACAAAACGAGTTTCATGTCCATTTCCTCAAAAAATATACCTATATCTTTCCGTCCCTTTCCATGTTCCTTTCACTCCTTTGCATGTGTGTTCCATGTCGATTCCATTTCAAATCCATTTCTTTCTTTCTATTTCGTGTATTTCTGTCTAGTTCTTTTCCTATCCATTTCCTTTCCAATTTTGTTTCCACTTCTTTCCATTTTCTTTCCTTTTTTGTGTTTCCATTTCTTTTCATTCCTTTTCGCTCCTCTCTAATGAAGTGATCAAGGCCAACCAAGCCAGAAAAGTGGCTTTTTTTGTGAAAATCTGGTGAGTTTGTTTTCCCTACGTTTCAATGCTTTCCATGTCCATTCCATTCTAATTCTACTTTAAGTCCATTTAATTCCTTCTTGTCCTTTCCGTTTCTTTCCGTTTCTTTGCCATTCCTTCCATGTCCTTTTTATGTCCTTTCTATTCCTAACCTGGTTGATCCTGCCAGTAGCCGTATACTGATCTCACAATTAATCAGCATACTAGATAGAAACAATAGCTGGACAATCTGTCATTTTCCAATTAATGAGAAAACTAGTTGACAAATCAGTCATTGTTTTCTAATGGTTGTATCAGTTGGGTACAATAGCTAGAAAACCCATCATGCTTTTCTATGTTCATCATGGGACGCTCGGAAGAGGGCGATGAATCAACAACAAGAAAAACAATGAACAACAAACAAAAACAAACAACAACTAACAAAAACAATCAACAACTCACAACAACAATCAACAACTAACAAAAACAATCAACAACTCACAAAAACAATCAACAACTAACAAGACATGGACAGGAAAGGGAACGTTTGTGCTTGGCAAGTCGGGGCTCACTGCCGATACAGTTTTGTATAGATTCCATTACCGAGCCTGCCCCGGCTGGATTCCAGGCACGTTGAAGCCCAAATGAAAAGGAAAAGGAAAGGAACTGGAAAGGAAATAGAAAAGGAAAACAAATGGAAAGGAAATGGAAAGGAAATTAAAGGGACATTGAAAGGAAATGGAGGAAATAGAAAGGAAATTGGAAGGAAATGGAAAGGACAAGGAAATGGAAAGACAATGGAAAGGACATGGAAAGGAAAGGGCACGTTTGTGCTTGGCG